CTCTGTTGGTTACACTGATGGCCAATTGAAGTCTGGGCCCAATTTAAGGTGCTGGTTATGACCTACGCGTATAAAGCCCTAAACAGCTTGGGTCAGGGATACCTAAAGGAGCTCCTTCTTCCCTATGTGCCCTCCCGCCCCTTGAGATCTGAGGTGGAGGCCCTGCTCTGGGAGCCCTCCTTGAAGGAGATTAGGAGAGTGGCTACCCGGAGAAGGGCCTTCTCTGCAGTGGCGCCCCATCTATGGAATACACTCCCCAGAGAGGTACGTCTGGCACTGAGCCTTTATTCTTTTTGGCATAAGGTGAAAACCTTTTTATTTTCCCATCTTTTTAATGTTTAGTTTGTTTTAACTGGGGCTTTTATCTTGATTTGCTGCATGCTGTGTTTGTTTTGCTATTTTATTGTAAGCCATCCCAAGACATAGTGATGGATGGGGTACAAAAGTTTTAAATAAATAGGTTACCAGGAAAAAGTTTCCTCACTGTCAGAGTAATATGACAGTGGAACCAGTTGCCTAGAGAGGATGTGGTCTCTCCCACACTAGACACATTCAAAAAGAAACTGGACAGAGTGGGATGGTGTCCTGTGAAAGCAGGGGGGTGGACCTGATGGCCTTCTTGGCCCCTTCCAACACTAGTATTCTATGATTGTATGATTATATGAATATGCCCTTGGGAAATTTTCTTATTGTCAACATAGTTGCCTTTGCTTACAAAGCCATGCCTAGAAGTGTGAAAACCAAATGTGGCCTGGTATATATGAATAAAACTGACAATGAGGACTATCTTATAGTGAGTGATAAGTGATTTGCGATTTCTTGTGATTTGCGACCAGTTCCCAAAAACGAGAAACATGTTATTTTCCCAGAAACTGCTCAATCTAACTTGCACTTAAGGAAACTCAGCATGGGATGCTGGCCCTATGTGGCCCCAGGTAAACTGAATACTACAGTAATTTCACACTCCGGCACAGGAAATAAGTTTTTGGGCAGCATTATACACAGTCCCTTTCCCCATCAAGAGAAAGCACTGAACATGTGTGGGTTATTTTAAAAATTTGTATATTTACACATATGCACCAGGGTGGGTTGGGGAGGTCATGGACAATGCTATCCTTGCAAGCTGCACCAACCCCAAAAGCAACAGCAATCCACCCCCAGCATTTCTTTCCCTGCCAGCTGTTACGAGAGAGAGAGAGAGAGAGAGAGAGAGAGAGAGAGAGAGAGAGAGAGAGAGAAGCTAGCAAGAGCAACCAACACTCTCCCTTTAGGTAGCCTTTCTGCTGAAATGTAAACTGCTTCTTTTCCCCTGACTTGGCATATGCTCTCGCAGCACACTGGTCTCACATCCCATGCTGGCAGATCGGGTGTGACCTACATTCCAAGCATATATAGTTTGCTTACACTGCTTACAATTTTTGGTGAGATGTGCATGCTAGCAACTACAGTGTAATTGTCTCCATCCCTAACCCCAGAAAAGAAGGCAGTGATGATAGCCTTGTGGCTGGAGAAGATGAAGACATCTTGCACGTAGGATAGCCTCTCCTCCTCCTCTTCCTTGGACATACACCAAAGAAAAGTATGTTCCTTCTTTTCTTTTTTGAAAATGAAAAAGGAAAAGGGCAGGTTGGCCCTCCCAAAACAGCTTGTGAAGTCATGTACACTATACAATGGCTGTCCTGATGCTGTCAATAATATCCTGCCATTTTTAAAGCACTGGTTGTATTGGCTGCTGAAAGAAGTTGTATATTCTCACAACCTCAGACTGAGACGCTTGGGGCATGTCTTTCCAGATAACAGCTGTGCTAATCAAAGTCAATCCTCTAGATCAAGGTGGACAAAAAGTAGATCTCCAAATACTTTGGACTTCAACTCCCAGATATCCTGGCAAGCATAGCCAGTGATAAAGAACACTTGGAGTTGAAATCCAGAATATCTGATGAGCTACTTTCTGTCTACCATGATCTAGATCCTCTTACAACATGTGGATAATTGTTGCATGGTCCTTGCAACAAAGGCATTTTGGGTGTGGGGTGGTTTGTTTTTGCTGCAACAGGCCAACACAGCTGCAAGACCAGCCCTACCCTTCAACAGTCTGAAGCGGCTGCTTTAGGCAGCAGATGCTGAGCAACAGGGAATGGACAGGACTGTGTGTGCCACACAGCTTGCCCATCTGCCCTGTGCTAGCCTACTGCCCTCAGCATCAGTGGAGGATGCTGTCCCAACCTCAGTGTTGAAGCTGAATTCAGCTGCCCGTCTGGTGAGCTTGTGTACATGGAATGGAGAGAAGTCCTTCGCGTCCTTCACCCCAGGCAGCAGCAACGTTTCATTAGCCCTGCACAGCCACATCTTGGAAATCGAACTGTCATGCATAACTGGTGCCATTGTGCACAATAACTACACATATCTTCAAAGACCAATGTTGAGCTTTTGGAGGCCACACCGTTTTTAATTAGATACATGAAGTATCTACACACATACACACACAGTCTGCTGTTCTGTAGCCAGCAAGTTAACAATATCGGTGGAATCCAGAATAAACTGGATCAGTTGAGTAGGCAGAGGTGGACTTCCTTGTTCCCATGGTCCCATAACAGCCCCTTTGTTGTTGTTACAAGCTGTCGAGTAATCTCTAAATTACGGTGACCCTGTGAATGAGTGGCCTCCAAAATGTCCTGGTCTTGCTCAGCTCTTGGAAACTCAAGGCTATAGCTTCCCTTATGGAATTGAGCCATCTTGTATTTGCCTTCAACTTTCCCTGGCATTGATGTCTTCTCCAATGAATCTTGCCTTCTCATGATGCACTGGGGAAGGAATTTTATCACTTTTGTTTCCAGGGCAAGTTCTGGTTTGGTTTGGTTTGATTTGATTTTGTTAATGGCCCCTTCAGCCCCATGAAAAAGCTACACAGAAAATCCAGAGACCCTGTAAAGGTAAGCTATGGCATGTGTGTGGGAAAAGAGTCTCCAAAAATTTGGAAGAGGGCAAATGGAACTTGTCCATTCATGGAGGGTCCCTTCCTCCTGCAGAAGATGCTGGATCCAGCCTAATAAGAACTCAAAATAATGGGCATAAGATACAAAAAATAAGCCTTGATTGCTGCTGTACTAAAAATGAATGCAGCATGTAATCTAAACATTTGCAGGAATGTCAGTCATGAATACTAAGCTTGCTGAAGTGCTATATCTAGAAGCAACACACAGCCAAGTGGGAAAGAACCACCCACAGTCATTGTCCAAACCTTGAAAAATACAGACTAATTTGTTAGTGAATTCATAGCTAGTGCTTCTGGCTCCACTTGCATCTGTTGTCTCAAAAAGTGGGCACATCAGCAACAACTTAAAGGCACATTTTTTGCACAGCAGATGTGATAGGAAAACATGGCATATGTGGGTTAAAAGTACCAGCCCCACTGTCACAGAGGATGAAGTCATGCTTCTTTTATTTTGTTGTCATATTTTAAAATTTTGCTTCTGTCCTACCCAATAGCTGAAGCTCTCTGGGTGGTTCATAGCAATTTCTCAAAGTACAATCCACTTTATGAAGCCCCCCTACATTAATGTGCAACCCATGAGGTCAATCTTCTGCAAGAAGCCAAGGCACTGGTACCTGTGCTGCTGGACTACAGTTCTCTGGCCATTGATCTGGTAGGCTGGGGCAAGTGGGGGCTGCAATCCAAACCACCTGCAGGACCCCAGGTCACCTAACCCACTGGTCTCAAAGCCCAGGGCCCCTGCTGTGCCTTGCAAACACTGGGCACAGCAGAGCTCCTTAGGCACTCCCTTAGGTGCCCCCTCTCAGTTGTCTTTGCATGGCATGATAGAATCTGCAGCCTACTTGCTTACTCAGCCATCCCATCTTGCATTGGATCAGAGATATTCAACTGTTTCATTCTTGGGATCACTCTGTTTTCCAGAAACAAGACTGATGAGCAATCTGTCCAAGTTCTATGATGCTGGCATCACCTAGCAGAAATCGCCTCACAGCTATGGAGCACATGTACTTGGGCTTGAGGAACAAATGGGTACTTTCGGGAGGCAGGGTGACCGTGGTCCTTGATCTTTCCTGAAAGCTCATGCTAGCAATACAGTAGCAGGCCTATCACAAATAAAATTTTAAAAATCATGCCTTGATTTAAATGTGGGAAAACCACAGATAACGTTGCACAAGGCTGCCATCTTTCTGAATGACAATGTCATGTAGGGTTCAAGCAGCACTCCTAAACTTGGCACCCTCCAGATACATTAGACTATGTGCCTGTCACTCTCATACAGCCTAACTACCTCGCTGGGTTGTTGTGAGGATAAATGTGGGTGGGGAGGAAACCACGTATGCCACTGTGGAGTGGACAGAATAAAATATTTCCAATGAAGAAAAGACAGCATTGCCCAAATGGTGTCACATGGGGCATTATATCTGTCATCTAGCCAAACTAGAGAAGCCCCCTACAAACAGAAGGACCCTCCACTTTGTTCCAGCAGGTTTTCTTCATCGCTTGTTTACTTTGCTTCATTGCTACAGCAGCAACCATGATTCACTTTTCCAGTGTTCCTGAAAACTTGTGTGATCTCCTAAGACAGTTTCCCTTTCCTGTGCTGACAGGCTGTGCCCCACCAGCAGCTTGTTTTTTGGGCTTTCTCCTTCTGCAACGTTTCTGCTTGAGCATGCCCAGCTACCTTGCTTGCGGCTGTTCAGTTCCTTCCCCTGAGGGCTCCTTGTGCTGGCTGCCAATACATGTTTTGGCTGATGCTCTGGCTCCCTTATCAGGACGATGCAATAGCAGAGTCCTTTAGGAAAAGGTTGCCTCGGACAGACGGCTTACGCAGCCCTGGCCTGTAGGTGTCTGTGGGGCTGTGCTCTCTCAGAAGGAGGGAGTCTGTCTTCCAAACCCCATTTTAAGCTGTGGTTTTGGTTTCCATGGTGACACTTCCTGTGGTAGAGAAAAGAGGTAGTGAGTGCAGCACTGTGAGCGTGGCAGGCAGGCAGCTGCACTCCTTCTTTTTCTCCCTGCCGGGGATGCTCTGAGGACTGTGCTGCAGCCTCAGGGAGGGGCTTCTCCTAGGCTGATGGTCCTGGGTTTCAGGGACTACCTGTGACAGCAGCACGAGGCATGCTGGGAAAACCCAAACACCTGGGCGTCCAAAATGGCCGAATGGTGAGTGAGCACACTGACAGCTGCTGCTGGGGGTGGGTGGGGGGAGGCGGTGGCAAGACCAGGGATGACATACCACCGAGCCTGAGGGAAGGTTCTTTCTGCTTTTTCTGTCCCTGGAAAAAGGATGCTCCTAGAATGCAGCCTTTCCAAGATCTCATCTTGGCATCTGGAGGTTGAGGTGGTAGCTTGCTGAGGTAGATAAACGTTCACTGGCTTTCTTCTTACAGGACCTCAAGGCAAGCTGTAGCTTTCAGGGTGCTTTCCCCTTCAGGGATACAAGGATCTGGAAAAATCAGCGCAAAGCTCTAAGCTCAGCTGCAACGTTGCTGTAGTAGAGAGGATGAGGCACTGTCATGTTTTCTTTGTGCCTGGTTACAGTTAACCTCATTGTCCCACCCAGTCTTTGTAACTTGCAAGAGAGGACACTGAGAACTCTTTGTATGTAGCTGGTCAATGTAGGGTCCTCCAGTGACTCCTCCCAGGAATATTTTTTTCTCACATTGAGTGTGAGGGTTTCTGTGGCCTGTGAAATCACAGTGCATTTCAGAGGCTCCAGCTTGCAGCTTGCTTTGAGTACAGAAAGAACAGGGCTTGGTGTGAGAGCTGCTGATAGTGTGTTGCACAACACAGCATGACTGGTAGATACCAAAGACAAGGAAGGGCTGCAATCAGAATTGAGACAGGCTGACAAAAGTGGTGTGTTAGAGCCTCGCACTGTGAAGAAAGAAAGAAAAAAAGCCCAGAGTTGCAGGTTAGATTTGTGGGGAGATAGTGGATGGTTATTTGGGGGCTCAGTTTAGCCTGATTGGTCACTTGGAAAGTAGGTCTTGTCCTTGGTTGCAGTGGATGAGAAGAAGGTGAGACCCAAATAATACATGTGTGGGCTCATCTTGTAGAAGTCGTTGGAAATTTAAACTCTGCAATGTGGTTCATGGGCAGATGCTTTTTGTCTGTGGTCATAACATAAAAGTCACACCCTGTAATGCCAGTTATAATAGAAACTTCATATAGCTACTCCAGGGTCATTTCCCCTACAGTGTAACAGTGGGTTAGTTTCTGCCCTGTTGCAGCTGTGGGTTGCAATAGGGAGTGGTTGTTCATGCTCCAATATGGGGAGAAGCCCTGTTGATGACAGAACAGGGATGGGGAAACTGAGGCCCATGAGCCAGCTCTGCTGCACCTGACGCCCCAGTTCAGCCCCCCAGTATTCCACAGATAGCCATGACCCCCTCCTCAGGCTCCACCCCATTTCACCCAATCCCCAGTTGTTGGCTGTTTTCTGGCTTTTGTGAGGTTTTCCCCCATTCTGAAAGGTTGAAATGCCTCGCCTAAGACTTATTTATTCTCAGCAAGCGTTGTAAACAAAAATATTTTGGGTACTCTCTTTTTGGCCTTAGTTCCATCCACCACTGAAATGCAGCCCCTGAAAGCTTCTCTAAGATTTAATTTGCTTCTCAGGCTGAAAGGGGGTCAACTCCCAGTGCAAGAAGGACCAAAATACCAGACGCATCCCTTCACACAGTTTCTATTAATCCTTATCAGTGCTGTGTGACATGAACTATCCAGATGGGGGTTCTAGAATTCATAATTCTGTACATGCCACCATGGTGACTTGGGTAAAAGATAGACACCAACTTAATCACACCAGCTGGTGTGTGACTTGCTTGATAGGATTGTGTGCCACTCTGGCAAGGTTGTGTCACACCTGAACTGTCTATGACCTTTCGGTGCTATCCTTATACAGAGAATACTTTTGAACTGTCAATGCCATTGGAACTGGGTAATTTTGCCTGAGGTGAACCTGTGTATACGGACTAAGCAAAGACTGTGCTGTACTTTCTTCCAAAAGCAGCTGAGACAATATGGGGACCCTGTTCACTATTGACTCTAGGATTTGTTTGTTTGTTATATTTATATTCCAGCATCTTTCCTTTCAAAGAACTCAGGGAGGCTTACATAATTCTCCTCCTCCTCTCAATATTTTCCTCACAACAACAACCCTGTGAGGTAGGTTGGGCTGAGAGTCTGTGATTAGCCCAAAGCCTCCCAGTTGGCTCCATGGCTGAGTGAGGACTAGAACCCAGATCTCCTGAGTCCTAATCCCGTCCCCCTTACCACTATACCACACTGGCTTTCACTGGTTTTTAAGGGCCATTGAGCAAAACATCCTCAATGGGCCCCCTCCCCAGTGGGCCTGCCACTGTTACCAGCTGCCATGGCTCCTTATCCAATTTCTCACAATTGCTACTGCTTGCTAAGCAAAGAACCCAGGAGCAATCGGGGTGGGAGGGGGAACCTCCTGCTCTTCCTCCCCCCACTGCCCATTGTCTGAACCAGAGTGAGAGGCGGGTGAACAAGCAGGTTGCCATGGTGAGGGGAAGGGCCAGTCTAGGGAGCTGCTGTCATTGGCCCCCTACTGGGGTTTGGGCCCTCAGCAGGTGCCCCACACCAGTCCTGGCCCTGCTCTGGCCTGCTGAAGGCACACTTGCTTTCCCGTTCTTCTTACCGTGCTTGCAGGAGCTGGTTCTGACTCCAGATTTTTGTGGTCGCACAAGAGATTGGATGAGGCACAGCGTGGCACTTTTCCTGAGGCCAAGAGCTCTGTGAGGGCAGATGGTAGTTGTCCTGTACTTGCACCAAAATGCCCTGTAAAGGAGTCTACCAATGGAGCAGAAACAGCATCTCTGCAGAGAACTGCTCCCACTGAGTTTTGTCCATATCCCAGAAAATGCTTTGACCACTTTCATCCTTCTTTTGCAGGGCCTGGCTGTATCGGATGGGGGTAAGTAGGCCTGTGTTTTGGGAAGGGGCATTGGTGTTATGAGGTCAAAGCCTTGGTTATGGCAGGAGGATCGGCTGGCTAAGAGGAGGTGTTGAGGGTGTGAAGTGTGTGAAGAGATGGAAAGAAATGCCTGATCTTAGGTCACAGTAACTCTGTTTGGTACGTTGCACTACACAAAGAGACGTTCTGCTTCTAGATGGCAAAGCCAATTTTGCCTCAAATTTCCCAGGATTTTTGCTTGGGGAAGAGTTCAGGAACAGACCAATCATTTCCACCCTACACCCTTGTCAGCACGACCAGGTACATGACATGGGCAGGGTCAGCCCTACCATTAGACAGAAAAGAGCAGCTGTGTCAGCTGCCAGGATTCCCTCTGTAGCCCCTAAGGTGTGGTGCAGGATGCTGCCCCATTGCCCCTGTTGAAGGAAGAGTCAACTGCCAGTCCAGTTAGTGTCTGTACATGGAATTGCCAGGGGTGGGGGTTCATCTTGTCCTTTCCCTCAAAAACAGCAAACTGTTTTTGACCGCTTTGGCTTTAGCATTGCCAAGCCAGGCAAACCCTGACTCACAGCATTCCTCCAGCTATTGGAGCTGGGAAAGATGTGCAAACTCATTCTGTTTCACAGAGTTAAACAGCTCTGGAACCCGGGGCAGTAATAACAGTGTGAACAGCCTGCCAAGCACCCAAAGTGTCACCCATTCCTTGGGGCAATCCGTGGCCCGCTGGGCTGAGTCCTTTGAGACACTGCTGCAGGACCACCTTGGTGTTGCCTACTTCACTGTAAGTCCCACACTTCACTTCTGTTTGCCCTTATGTCCCTCTCCATGTTCTTTATCTTGCATTGTATAATTTTGTTCTGCTATGGAGCCTGTGGAGCATTGCTTCAATCAGACAAGAATGGTACTGCCTCCCCTGTGCTTTCCCCTCCTTCTAGCTTTAGCCAGTTCTTCTCCCCTCTCTCTGACTTCTGCAGTTACTACAGCTTTCTTCTGTATCCAAGGTTTTATGGTTAGCTACCACCTTCGGCTGTATTGTTTGCTTATCCTGAATTGTTGGCAAAGATAATTGCTAGACTTGGCTCAGTATGGTTTGGACCCTTTGACTCCCTTCTGCTCCCAAAACACTAAATGGTAAGAGTCCCAGGACAGAACAGAGGGGTTTCATTGGTATCCCTATTCCTCTCCTTCCAGGAGTTCCTGAAGAAGGAGTTTAGTGCTGAGAATGTGTATTTCTGGCAAGCATGCGAACGATTCCAGCAGATCCCAGCCACCAGCACCCAACAGGTAAGAGGAATAATCCAAGCAGAAAAAAAAGTGGGCTCATATTTCCCATCTGAGGGGGGGAAATACACATATAGGCAAACCGTTGAGCAATTTGGTGCCAATTAGTCCTCAATGGAATATTCTTTGGGTTTAGGAAGATGCTTTTTAAATGTAGACTGAAATTCAGGGATTTCAAACAGCCCGGTTCTGCCCAAGTTTCAAGGCTGCAGACATATTTCAGTTATCAGAAAGTACACCACCTGAATTTTGAGGAAGGCTCTGTGTGTGTGTGGGGGGGGAGGGGGGAGGGACACGCCAAGAAGCGATAGAAGGACTCCTGGCTTCCCAATCCGTCACACAGAGAAGGATCCAAACTTTCAAGACCTCAATTCTGTTTTGAAGAATGATCCATGTTCCATTGACGGGAGAGACAAAAGCAAAATGTGTGGGCCAAAATATCCAAAGGACCCGCTCATTTTAGATTCTTAAAGATAGTAAGTAAACTTTAGGAGGGGCATTTCAACCTTTTAGACTGGGGGTGGGAAACACTGCCACTGTTGGCAGTGGGGGAGAAGGGTCACCTGGGAAATATAGGGAGGCTAGCTTGGGACTGGATGGTGGAATGGAGATTAAACACCCTTGTTGTACATATGGAAATGAATGCAAAAAGAAGAAAATTCTGCCCTTGAGGAAGCCAATTTCTTCACCAAGAAAAGATGGATTCTACATACATTATGGAAATGTCCCTATTTTTTGCCTATTTTACATATTTTCCCTGCTTTTGCAAGAGTTTGGGTAGGTCCAGGAGTGATGCAGGGTAGTGAAACCCTTCTTATTTAGTGATTCAAAATCTTACTGGGTTTTCCTGGCTTTGAAGCTTTTAGCAGGCATTGCCCACTCATCATTTTATTTATTTATGAAATTTGTGTGCCGTCCAATTACCAACGTCTCTGCACGGCTAACAGCATAAATAAATTGACAACCCACTCTGGCTGCAAATACAATATTAAAATTCAATATTGAAACATATTAAAATATTGATTAAATAAAAAGGTCTTAACCTTTTAACCTCTTCAAAACTTCTTGCACAGCCATAAGGGCCAGAAACTTGATTTAAAGCTAAGGTTCCCAGAATACAAAATTGTGTACCCAAGAGAATGGCAATTTCATATTTTTTTCTGTTAGAACCACTGAATGCACACAACCCTCTGAGATGAACGGACGGACCTCCATGCTCTCTTGCGCAACAGGCCACACAAAAGCGGCAGCACCAAGGACTTTTGCTCCTGGGCTGCAGTGCTATCAGGACTCTCACCCCACACGCTTTCTCCATAGCTGGCTCAGGAGGCTCGGTGCATCTACGATGAGTTCCTGTCGAGTCATTCGGTGAACCCCGTCAACATTGACAGGCAGGCCTGGATTGGGGAGGAGATGCTGGCTGATCCCACCCCTGATATGTTTAATGTCCAGCAGCTCCAGGTGAGAACAGTTCACCTCATCTAAGCTATGTGGTGGTGGGGGTCATGCATGTGTAAGTGCAAGAGAATGGACATAACAGAAATGGGATGCTAGAGAAATTGCCCACTCCTCCAGTTATATAAGAAGATGCCTTCTGCTGAGCCAGACAGTGAATCCGCATAGCCCCATATTTCTCATACTGGCAGCAGTGCTTCTGTGGTGCTTTAGAGGAGATTCCTTCCCAGCTGTACCTGCAGAAGCCAGAGACTGAAACTTGGGCCTTCTGCATGCTAAGTGCTCTGTCACTAAGCCTTTGGAGCATTTTTATTTTTAAATTATTTTTCTTGATTACTGCTGGGTGAAGCTGCCTGAGGTACTGAGATCCAGACCCTGGAGGGATGTCTGCTGAGAAGCAATGATGGTACTTGATTAACGCTTGATTAATCTTGCTTCAGATCTTCAATCTGATGAAATTTGACAGCTATGCCCGCTTTGTCAAGTCACCACTGTACCAGGCATGTGCCAGGGCTGAGAGCCAAGGACAGCCCTTGCCAGAGCTGAGGCCCCACTCTCAAAGTGGCAGCCCCCCAACTGACCATGGCAAGGTACAAGGCCAGTTCTCTTCCAGGCTCACATGTGGGGTGGCTTTTGGGGAATTTAAAGGGCACCCATTTCCCTCTTCTCCCTAAAAAGCTCTAGCACACCTTGAGGTGATCTCTTCTCCCTCTCTCTGACTCTCCTCCAGAAAACAAAACTAAAGGCAGGCAAATCACTTCCACTTGGTGTGGAGGCAGCAGGCAACTTGGCTGGTCGGAGTCCTCGGAGATCCTTCCGGAAGGGAGACCGGAGGGAACGTCACTGGGGAGGTGAGTCCAAAGTTGAAAGCAGGGATGCAACTATTGTGCAGTTGATTCTGGGTGGGCAACAGGGCCGATTAATGAGTGGTCTCCTGCCAAGGGCCATGTAACCTCCAAAACTCTGACCTTGTCTGCTGACTCTGTCCTAGAGGAGAGAAATGGCAGTGAGGGGCCATCCCAGTGGCGTGAGTCCCAAGGCTCTCTGAATTCCTCTGCTAGCCTGGACCTGGGCTTCCTGTCATCTTGTGCAACCAACAGTCCCCAGACAGACGTGAGTGCTTTATTCGCCTGGAAGTCCAATGAAAATGCTGGCAGTGAAAATATACCCCACTTATGTCTGTGTGGTCATGCTCTCTTCACTGCAGTGTGGGCACTTGTCTCTGGCTTGACGCTGCGCCGTGACTGTCATTCCATGGGGCCTATCGTCCCCCACACAATATATAATGGGCTATGACTGTGCAGTGTGGAGGAGTTCTCTTCAGTGTGATATTCTCTGTGACTCGCTACCAATAGCACACTGGTGTTTCAGCTGCTGCTTTCTTGGCCCCCTCCTAGGGACGCCCACCCCTGTTAAACAGTTCAAAAACGGTTGCTTACACAGCCATAGAGAGTCCCAGCTGGTGGGGAGGCAGCCCTCCTTCCTGTATGCAGAAGGTGGGCAGAAAGAAATTATCCCAGGGGAGTCTATTAGGAGAGCACAGCTCACAAGAGCTCAGAAGGGTCCAGCATGTGTGTTTGGCAGCTGTGGCACAGTTCTGAATATTGCTATAAGGCCCATGGATCTGTATAATCAGGATTATGTCACTTTTGGGGCCTCTTCCAATGAAAGCTGCTTCTTTCTGAAGGGTCTGTGTATCTTAAGTCTGCTAAAGTAGCAGCTATGCAAAGAAATAAGTGCTGTTCTTACATCACCAGCTCCTGGCACAGGGAAGAACATATTAATAGGGCCACCCACAGAAAGAAGGCGACATCGGCTCTGCCTGCCTAGCTAGCTCATAGGCAAGCCTTGAATAATTCTCTGCATTGCACAGAAGGAGAAGCAGTGTGGGGTGACAGGCGTCTGGACTCCACTACTTCAGAAGGAAGGTGGGAGGGAATATAAGATCTGGATTTTTTAAAAAATTAAGAGCTGCTTGTATGTAGTAAAACTAGCATGCCATCAGGGAGACACTGGACAGCATTCGCTCAATGAAACCCAGTAGCTACAGCAGTGGGACAGCCAGTAGAATGTCCTTCGTCAGACAGCACATATTTGCATTGAAGTTCACTGCCCTGAGATATAGTGATGTGCCCTGGAGTTACAATTGGGTTAGATAAATTACAGTGCAATCCTGTTAAATGCCTCCTCAGAAGCAAGTCCCACTGCATTCAGAGCCATTTGCCATGGCAGTGTATCTCTCAGTACTATTTGCTGGAGAGCAACTGTAAGGGTGGGCTATTGCCCTCATACTCTCCTTGTGGGCTTCATCAAGGAATCTGCTCAGCCACCATCTGTGAGAAACAGGGTGCTGGACTAGACGGACCTTGGGTTGGATCCAGCATGCCCCCTCAGACATTAAACCTTTTCCCCTGATGTGCTGTGAATGGAGGTTAACAGGAAAAAATAACAAAATACCAGCCCCCAAACCATGGGACAACATTAAAAAATGTCCCTTACTTGTGACCTGCAGTGGTACATTCTAGAATGCTACCACCTCATTCTTCACAATGTGTAGATCAGCAGAGAACTGCTCTTTTCACACATGCCATCTTCCCTGAACAGGTTCAGGGAAAAAAACATGTGTACCATTATATGAGACAAACATGTGTGAATGTCTTCTTTTGAAAGAATTCAGGTCTTTAAGTTTGGAAACCTCCACAGGGACTTATTGATGGTCCTCAACCTTCATCTGGCATGAATTCTGGCCTTTCAGCCTAACAGGCTATCCAGCTAAAGATTGAGGGCTTAGGTGTTCTCACGCAATGCTGAAAGTTTTAAATTCTGTTCCCCCCAGAACCACAGGAAGAGCTTGACTGGCTCAGAATCTGATAACCAGAACCAGCCCATCAAGTACTGTTGTATTTATTTGCCTGACGGGACTGCCTCTCTGGCCCCAGTCCGTGCTGGCCTCTCCATCCAGGAGATGCTGGTTGGAATTTGCGAGCGCCGTGGCCTCCACCCGCCTGATGTAAAAATCTACCTTGTGGGGAATGAAAAGGTAGGCCCAATTTATTATAGATTCACAGGAAGTGTACCACTGCAGGAATATGAGAGGAAAGTGATGCTGTGTGGGCCCCTTTTCCATGTAAAATTTAGACTGGAACATCTATAATCTATCCCAATGGGCACAGTTGTCTAGTGCACAATATCTTCAGGTATGAGCTGGGAGTTCAGAAGTCTTCTGCTGAAATGTCAGTTCAGCACCAAACACTTCAGACAAGCTAATATTCTCTCAGCTTCAATCCCAATGTGCAACATTTGCCCACTTTACAAGAGTGTTGTAAGGATTACAGAGATAATGTGCTATGAACACCATTCAAGTATTATTTCAATGCCTGTTCAACCTGAAACAGAAGTAGGATATTAAAATAACAATAAAAATAGTCTGCAATCAAAAAGCAAAACTGCTTTTAAAAGGGTGATAGGATATTTGAAAGAGCGCCTTCTCCTGATCACTGAGGTCATCCATTGAATTGCCCCAGTGGTTCCTCATGGACTTACAGTCTGTCTGGAGTCCACTTACAGCAGAAGCTTTTGGAACACTGGTTCTCTCTCTGTGGAACTCTGTGCCAGCTGATGTCAGACAAGTGCCAGCATTGTTTTGTTGGTGGTGCTTGCTGAAAAAATTGTATTAAAATGCTTTTCCTGGTTCTTTTTCTCTTGTTATTGTTTACAGCACAGGATTCTTGCCAGATATAGAGCATGGTATAGATATTGAAAATGAATAGAATAAATATTTGCTAGCCTAAATTCTTTAGCTGTCACTCCCATGCTACCGAGCAATAAACAAATCCCTCTCCCACAAAATTAAAAAGCAGCCCAACCTGTTATCCCATCTTGGCATTGTGACCATTCACAAATCAAGGAGTCCTTCTCCAGTGACTTCCTTAGCAAGCAACCAGCTTCCCATGCTGATGTGGGAAGCATCTCTTTGCCAAAACCATTGGTAAGGGTGCATTTGGAAGGATCTCTCTCCCTCAGTAATAGTGCAGCCAGGCAAGGAGGTAGCCCTTGAGTGGGAAAAGTCTATTTGACAGCTGCCAACCCTCTGACAGCATCTATTTTGGCATACAGATGCTTACGACAGTTTCACAGGATTTCACCCACAGGAAAATGTCTCCCTAGATGCTGAAATAAGAGATAAATTCAGGGCATCTCTGTTTTATTAGAACTTTTTATGACCACCTTCCCCATCCTGGTGGCTTCCAGATGGTTTGAGCTTCAGCTCCATCAGGCCTTGCCAGTAATGACCAATGGTTCAGAATGCTGGGAGTTGTAGTCTAAAACAGGTTGGAAAAGGCTGCTTTTTGGCCACAGCCCTGTTCACTGTTACTCATGTGATGTGAGTCCATACATTGAAAGTGGCCACAGGGCTGTCTCTGGTCCCTCTCTCAAGGCTGCATGGCTTGCCAGCCACTGCCTCTGCCCCGACTCTGCACCCACACACTCAGTAGCGACATCTGAGCAAGGGAAACCTGCTGGTGTGGTCCTCTCTCTGCATCAGCCTGCATGGAAGCTTGATCCTGCCTTTCTGTCCTTCGTGTACGAAGGAGGCTTTTATCTTCCAAAGCTCTGGGCTGTAGCCATCAGTTCATAGCTTCTTAGGGCATTTCCTCCGGACCCTAATGGCATCGTTGAGCCTTTCCCCTGACATGTGGAGGCAGGTGAAAGACTAGCAGGCACCGTTGAGTCAGCATGAGGAATGCTCAAAAACACTGATGTTGCAGCCATGCCTGTGTTGCGACATGTGGGAAAAGGATGCCGGTACGCAGTACATGGACTCCGGTGGGGGGGAGAGTCACATTCAGTCATAAGAATGTAGCGAACTCCATGCAAAACAGGAGAAGCTGTTCGTTGTGAAGATTATTTTCTCTTATGACATAGAGCTTTTAATGCAAGATCTTTCATTTCTACTCATGTATAGTGTATTTGTTTGTCACATTCATATTCCACCTTTCCTCCAAGAAGCCCAAGGCAGCATACATGAGCCTTCTCTTCTCTGCTTTATCCTTACAGCAACCTCGTGTGGCAGTGAGGCCAAGTGTTGGTGACTAGCCCAAAGTTACCCAGTGAGCTTCATGACCATATTGGAACTAGAATGTGGTCTCACAGCCCCATTCCAAACACGACACCCTGCTGGCTCTTTTTGAAAGCTGCCTTCCCCAAATCATATCATTGGACTCCTTTGCATGCTGATGGCACCATCCTACATAGATGGGGCTTTGTCTGTAGTGTTGCAACAACTTTGTGCATCACCAAGCAAATATCTGCCCATGTGCATATGAAGGTGCACCCATGTTCTTTCCACTGCATTAACATGTCTGCCTTTCCTTAACTTCTTGCAGAAGCCGCTGGCACTGAACCAGGAGAGCTTAGTCCTGATGGACCAGGAGGTGAGGCTGGAGACCAGGATCAGCTTTGAGTGAGTACCATCTCTGTCAGCCACATCTCCTGCTCTGTATGTGGAGCCCATGTAGCCCTGTAACCACCATACAGAAACGTTGCTTCATCCTTCTCAGCACAAAACCACGTTCTTCCATCACAAGAAGGCAGCCCATCTGCATTTGCAAAATGGAAATAAATGGAAACTGCTCTGTTCTTCTGGGTCTGCAAGAAACAAGTTGCCCCAGTACAGCTCACTAAAACTGGCCTGGCTCTTCCATACTCTAGTTTGGTACAATACAATAGATGAGCAACTTTGGGGGCTGCAGCCACATAGTACATGAAGGTTATGCCCCTCTTGGCAATGTGCATCCTCTGCCCACCGCCACTGTCCTGTGGACATTGCATAGGCATTATTTAAAATGAGAGGGGAAGCCAAAAAGAATCCTACCAGCTACACGAAGCCCTTTTCTTTTTTGCAGCCCCTGCTGCTTCCAAATCCCTGGTGTGCTGCTATTATGCTAACAAATATTGGCAACACATGGCAGAAAGAAAAAAAGGTGCATTTTTAACAAGGCATGGTGGATGGTAAGGAGGGTTCCAAGAGTATAATTTTAGATTTGCCTCCCATGCACATTTTTATGTGAAAATGTGATTTTTCTTCACTTTTCTGTATTACTCCAAAATTCAGCAGCAATTCAGCTGGGTGTATGGGTTCATTAGAGGAGGGTAAAATTGGTTCCCAGAGCCTTTGATGCTGACCACCTGAGATCTCAGGCCACTATCAGCATCAGTCAGGGCTCACAGAACCAAAGCAGATGGTGCCACTCAGACTACACACCACAAGAAAAAGAAAAAAATAAACGTCTCCACTTATCTATGCCCCATGCATCTAGGCATTAGGGTTTTATTCCAGGAGACCTGCATGAGAATTCTTCTCTCTAGCTCACTTTGCTGTGACTCACATGGAGCCCCAGTATGGGAAACTGTCACCCTGGTCCTTTCCTGTTCCATTTTGCTGTGCTCTCAGTTTCTGTGATGTTGCCTGTTGGGGCCAAGAACAAAAGGCATTAAGGAGGAGTAGAACACTTTTTTATCCTTCATCTGGGTGGATTAATGGGGCGCAGAACTTCTGCAGCTGCCATATGCAATGTCTCGCACTTGGTGCTGTTTTTTTTCTCACAGCCTGGAAATTGTACCTATTAATAAGACTGTGCGTATTCTGGCAAAATCTACTAAGCACCTACGTGAGGCACTGCAGCCTATCTTGGAGAAGTACGGCCTGGATGTTACACGGGTGCTACTCCGACGGGTGAGAATGGTCTTGGAAGAAGGGAAATGCAATGTGTGAATGCAGCCTAGATGTTCCTAGCCCACTGCTGAGTGCTGGGATGTGTAGAGACGGAACTGCTGGCTGCATTTGCACCTTAGGGATATGCCCAGTTTTTGCAGCATCTCTTGCTCAGGATTAGTTTTTCCTTCTGGTTACATTGGACTGAGTTGGAAGACAAGCAAAGAAAGACTAGTGCCCAAACCAGTCCACAGCAGTATTCTGTTCCAGTGGAACATTGGCCATTTCCAGATCCAGAAGTTCCCCAGGCTAGAGGGGGAGCCTCATGATGTCAGAGCCCTGTTCACCCTCTTCTTGAGAAGCTGCCTGCTCAAGCAGCCTTTACACACGGTTGCCTTGACCTATCCACCTTGTTGGGTCAAAGGTCCCTCCATCCTGGTCTTTCTCCCGCCCTTAACTCTGCTCTCCTTCTGTAGCCTGGTGACCCCCGTGCTCTGAATATGGAAGAGAAGGTGAGCTCTGTGGCAGCTCAGAAGCTTGTACTGGAGTCTGATGCAGGTATGTAGCACTCAAAAGCACACATGACCACTCATGCAGGAACATGGTGGCCCCTTGGCCTTGCGAGGTCCCTTTGAGTAGCTGGTCAGCTGCTGAGCGCTGTGCAGCTTGAGGAAGCAGAATGATTGCCATGTAGATTTTGGAGAGGTATGGGAGGAAAATGGATGTTTTGTGATGCTGCTCTTCACCCAAAGTGCCATATTGAGGAACAAAACATCTTCGCCCGAGCAGCTGTTCAGTGTTGGATGCAGCATAATGCACAAGAGGAGCTATGACTGCTCGTGGCAGATGTTGGATGGAGAGCCATTGCCATGGGCTGAGAGCTGCCAAGGGAGAGTCTTCCACATGCAGAGCATCCGTGCATTCAGTGCTGTGCTGCTGACTTCAGCAAGCCAAGCCCCTAATTGCACCAGATGCTGCACAGCACTGCATCCTGCCCCACATTCGCCCCAGTCAGTAACACCCCAGTTTCATATTCTTAGGGGCGTTGGCACTGGCTACCAAGGCTGCTTGCTCCCTTTTTTCTGACTTCTTCGTGCTTCACGCAGGAAGCTGCTACGATGGGAAAAGATTTGCCTGTTTTGTCCCTAAAGCAGCTGCCCTGCTCACAGCAAATGACTAACTGTTGTTTGGTTTTGTTTTTAAAGTGGCAACTCTACTTCTCCCTGTCCCGTATCTCTGAACGCACAACTTTCTTCCTTCCAGACGTATTGGCAAATTCCCTTCTCTTTGAGAGTGTTTTCTGTTCAGAGATAGATCTGCATCTCTCCTCCAATCACTTCAAGAAGGGTCAGTTCATGTTCCCTGGGCTCCAGTGTGAGGGTCTCCAGCTTCTTCCGGGCTGACACCCTAGAAAATCTGGCCAAAATCTAGGAAATTCTCCACTCAGCCTTTCTGTTGCATTCATGGCCTGAATCCTTAGTTCAGCCTACCCTCTTGCTGTGGCCAGGGCTTCAGCTTGGATTATTTTCTCCCTTGCTCTTTCAGCAGCTAACATTCATGTGTTTTATTGCAGAGGCGAAACCTGTTGATGCCAGAAATGCCACTCCAAACTCTGCTTGTGACCAGAATGAGGTGAGTTTCCACCATGGAGTTATATAGCTGTTCCTAGACAGATTCCCCTTCCAAAGGAATTATAGGACCAAATGCGTCTTTGTTCAAACACACATGCACCTCCCTGCACAGAGGAAACTGATCCCAGTGCAGAGTTCTGGCCTGATAATAGCATCCTTCCTGATCATACTGTACATGCTGCTATCCCACTTTTGTGCAGCCAGGCAGTCTTCTTACAGTTGCTGTCACTTGGTACAAGCCAGGAAAAGTGATCTGTATGCATTAGGCCTATGCCAAAGGGGAGAATGCTGTGGCCCAGGGTCCAGATCCAGCCTTTCTGGGGCCCCAGTCCTGCCAGATGGTCGTGCCCCTTCTTCTGGCCCCACCCCTTTCCCCCAGCCCCGCCCCTTTTCTCCAACTGCCAGTTGTTTGACGAATTTCCGGCTTTTGTGCAGTTCTACCACCACCACCCATTAAAAACAAGGGAGATGCCTCCCTCGAAGCTTAGTTACTGGCAGTAAGAGTTTTAAGCTACAGTATGTTGGCATCATAAAAAATATGCCACCTCTTTGGCCTTCAGCTCCACCTACCACTGGAATGTAGGTAAGAGCTTCTCCACGCCTGAATCTGGGCATCATTGCCCCGACCTGAGCTCAGGGCTCACCCTTTTCTGGCTTTGGCTCTAATCCCCGCACCCGTTATGGTTCCAGGATGGCAGCTGTGTTGAGACAGAGGCAGATGCTGAGCCACTCCCAGAGATGTCCTGTTCCTTTACCAGGCCTTCCAGGAGTAACCAGAATCGGCACACATGCGACTTGGAAGGTGAGTCAACTCTGACATGACCTGCAGCCCACCCAGATAGGGACGATCAAGCGGATGTTAGCGGTTAGAAGATGAGGGGTGTGGCCTCAGAGAACTGAACAGAGCTGTATTCACCTGGACACATTTCTACATGCTAATTTCTTGAATGCATGCAATGTGGAATACTATTATGATGCTTAGAACAGTTGATCCCAACAGTGTAAATTCCTTTACAAAACTTCTGGGACACTTTCCAGCTCACTCCTTAGCCTCCATACATCTGTTCTCTAGTTTTGAAGATGGCCTTAAAGATGAAGCAGGGGACAGGATGATGAATAGAAGGGTATAGGCTAGTCTATAAGCTTTTTATAGTCTGCCTTTCCTCAATGAAGTTTAGGGTGAAGTTTAGAATTCTTCCCCCCTCCCCCAATTACCCTTGTGAGGTACATTAGGCTGAGACCACCCAGGGAGTGGTCATTCACCCCACTTCTGTTAGTTGCCAGTTATTCCCACTACCTAGAGGGGGCAGAGACTCGAAGAGGGGTGGGACTGGATGTTGTACACACACATTCTGGCAAACCTTGGGGCGAGAGGCTGACTGTTCTGGCAGGAGTGACAGCTCAGACTCCAAGGATGAGGTGTATGCAGGGGAGGTTGCCTGTTCTGGAGGGACTGACAGCTCAGACTCTGATAACAAGGTGATGGGTGAAACGGACCCAGATCCAGCTGTAGCCCAAGGCCCTGCATACCCGCATGTGCCTGCCATGGGAGAGATTAGCTGAAGGGCTGCTGAAGGGCCCAGTCAACCCACTCGTGGGAATGAGGAAGAGCATCAACATCTTGAGGGAGGAGATTTAGAGATGGGGAGCCTACTGGATGGGGAACAGCACTTCCTGAGGAGGTGAACCTGACAGTCGGTTGTCGCAGCCATAGGAGTGCCCAGTTGGTGTCTCTGAGTGAGGAGCACAGCTGAGACCAGTTCCTCAGCACTCCTCCCCTCAGCAACAGACACAGATGGATTCAGAAGGAAAGCTTTGGGTGAAGAATGTCAGAGCTGGTTCAACATCTTGCTTCATGTACGCTCAGAGATTTGCATGTAAAATAAAAGCATTTGGCAAAGAAGTGTTGGTGAGACTATTACTACTGGGAGGAAGAAACACGGCTTACAACACTGTATGTGTAACCTCAGGCAGGAGGTTCCTTATTCCTGGCAAAAAACAGAAAGAAGCAAAGACAGACCAGGCAAATAAACTCTGCGGAGCAAAGTGAATAAAGGCATTCTAAAGGAGAGGGGCATGGGAGGAGAGATACGGGGCTTAGCTAGGTCTTACCACACAATTCCATGCATTTCTACTCTGAAGCAAGACCCACCAAGTTCAGTAGGACTGATTCCCAAACGTATAGAATCACAGCCTTAAGCTGGCTTTAAGATTTATTCCTTCTTCCCAAGGAAGCCTGGGCATTGCAGTTCTTTCATGAGGAGAGAAGAGAGAATTATTAACACCCTTGCCAGAATTCCTTGGGAAAAGCCATGATAAATAAATGGGTACAAAACTTATTTTGGCAGGCAGATAAATGCAACAGAAAAGTGCAGCAGTAGAAAGGCTTCTTAGAGCAGAATGTTGATATATGTTTGGGGAGTGATGTTGTCAAGCTGTGCCAGATCAACACTGCATTTCTTCTTGCCACCTTTCCCTACTCCCCACTCCGCAGGGCTTGTGGAGCTGCTGAATCGGGTCCAGAGCTGTAGAGTCAATGACCAGCGTGGGCTGCTATCTAAAGAGGATCTAGTACTGCCTGAGTTCCTCCAGGTACCTGAACATGATGATGTCTCCTGCAAGAACCACACCTCCTCCAATCCCGTCCCTGAGAAGACATGCACATCTGAAGCCCCTGATGCTGAGCCAGCCTCCATCTCTCAGTGTCAGTCAGAGGTGCAGCCACAAGCCCAGGCTTCTTCTCCTTCAAAGCAGCAAACGCGATGTCCATCATCATCTTCATCACCAGCTACTGCTGCTGGAAAGCCTTCAGCCCTGTGATCTATCCCATGAGTTTCCCCTCACTACATGTCCTATCCCCCCTCCAAGAGGTCATGCTCTTTGCAGTAAGGTCAGGCCCTTCATGTTCAATATCTGTTGTGGTATTATGGTCTGCCTTACATAGACCCTTTCCCTGGTCTAGGAATATGGTTGAGGGCCAGCTAGGACTCATACTCACTCTAAGGACCCCCAGCCTGTCTTCCAGGAATAGATGGACGTCTGTATTCTTGATGTGCTGCCTGACTCTCACACCTTGGAACTGCCCATGCTGGCTGGGCAGAGATACACCAAGGTTGCTCACTTGCTGTACAAGACCGTTGTATGGTGTTGCTCAGTGTTGTAAAACAACTGCCCATGGCTGCTCCAGTGGCAACTGCACCTCTGTGGCTAGTGGTGATGATGCCTGTATATAGTTTGTAATTTTCAGTCTTTGTAAAATGTAAGATACACTGCAAAATGGAATTCTGAGTCTCTTTGTGTTTGTGCACATACGTTTCCAGTTGCCAGCAGAGTGTATCTGTATCCATCAAATGGAGATGCTTTTGTTTGTGTGTGCAATGAATTTCAGGAACTGTGGGGACAGGACTGTTTTAGCATCAATGTTTCTTCTTGATGCAACCCCCCCACCCCAAGATCTTTCCAAAGGGTCCTTCATGTCTGGTGTGCCTACCTTTGAGGCAACAAGTGATTCCAGGCAAAGTTTAATGGTGCCACACTAGAGGTCCAGATACCATCTTCCACTCATGACCCTCCCATGTTTTCTCACTGCTTCCTCTGCTGGTTTCATTACCACTGAAATCCCGTTGAGAAGGAAAAAGATGGAATAGCTGCATGATGTCCCTCTGATTCATAAGAGCTCTTCGGCTAGAGGCAGCCGGGAAAAGGCTGCTTGACTGAGGGGAGAGGACTGCTGGTTCGGTGAGAAGGGGAGGGAGCCTTTAATTGCTATATGTCCAGGGTCCTACTCCATGATGTGCATTTCTGTGCAAAACGGTAGGTAGGTGAATGCTGAATATGCAAGCCCACAGACTAGCCGTACGCTATCTCTTTTGCTGCTGGATCAGATGTATGCCTCAGTGGTACACTTCCCCCCATGATGTTGTGTCCCCGTGGGGAGGCACGTTTTGCAAAAACAACAAGAAGTATTGAAAGATGTTGCGAACTGAGACCTGGGGTCGGGGTGGGTGCACTACACAGGTGGGTTTGCCCCGCACACATGGATACACACACGGGAAGACTGCTAAAACTTTTGAAGTACGCCGTCTCCTCAAATCCTTGCCCAGCAAGCCAGCTCTGCTTTGGGGTCTGAATTTGCTAGGAGTGGGAGGGGGTCGGGGCTGCCTCCGGATGCGAGCTTTCCCCTTGCCCGCCTCGGACAGAGGAACTCAGCCGCCTGCGGAGCAGCCGCCTCGCATGCTAAACACGGAGGGGGAGGAGGCTGCTTCCCCATTGGCTGCCCCTGGCCGCATGTGCCGGCCCCTCACCATTGAATGAGAGTGGGGAGGGGAGAAGCCAGCGCAGGCTGCGATCCCGGACGGCAGGAGCCGCCGGTGGAGAAAGCGACAGGCACAGGTAAGCAAGGGCACGCTGGCTCTTGTGGGGAAACTCTGCAGCGGACCCGCCGCCTGGCCGCTTTAAAGAGGGAGGAAGGTCATTCAGTCAGTCATTCATTCATGGAAAATGTGGTGTCTTTCTTCTGAGTTATTGCTCGCGTTGCTAGGGGGCGCTCTGCTGGTACGGAGCAAAGCGACGGGCGCTTCGCCGGAGAGGGCGCGTTTCCTCAGTGCTGCGCTAGGGGACGCTGTGGGACAGGGATCATGAGGAGGGGTAGCGGGCAGCGCGGCCGTCCCTTGGAGGGCTCGCTTAGAGGTGGGAGACAAGCAGGCTGCTTCGACGCCTAGCCTTGTGTTCCCCACCTTGCCGTGAAGTCGGGCAGATTCCGATCCCGCATGAGGTTGTCAACAAGGCCATATGCCCGAGGTCCCAATTGCTGGCTCGTCTTGTAAACAGACTGGGGGGGGGGGAGCGTTGGGGATGAGAACCCCGAGCCTCTCTCCGTGCAACCGCGCCGCCCATGAGGTCCTGCGGTCCGTGCTGTCCTGTCTGGGGAAAGCAGCTACCAGCGCCTAAGGAGCGAGACCTCGAAGGCCTGAATGGAAGAGAAACTGCAACCAAAGAAGGCTGGGGACTTGGGCTGCATCCTAGGCATATTTAGGGAGAGGAGAAATGCCTGCACCTCCCTGCATGGCGGGACAGTGTACATTTATTAAATGAAGCAACATGTGCAGATTAATAATATGCCTACCCACACAGTCCAGGAGAGCTACTAGAGGAACAGGTGCATGCCAAGTCCCGGATTTGGGTCAGGGGCCTTTAGTTGCCTTTCCCTTTAGATTAGAAATTGGTGCCAAGGGGGTGTAATAAGCTGTTGCAGAATCAAATGAGAAGCTGGAATCTGCTAGGAATGAAAGGAAAATCTAAATTCAAAATCTACAGTATTGCAATCAAATTCTGCAAGCATAGAAATATAGTCATCAAGGGTAACATTGATGTCATAACAAACATGCAGAATAAATGATTAGGATAAATAAAACACAAATCAATAGAAATGGCAATCTATTTCAATTAGTAAAGTAATATCTTTTCAGTTCAGCTTGCCAAAGTTAAAGGCTGGGTGGATTCAAAGAGCTTGGTGCAAGCACCCCAGCACCCTTCACCCACCCTTGTCATCCTGACTGGCTATGCTAGCTGGTGCTGATGCAGCCCCAATTGTCTGGAGGGCAGCAAGTTACCCACCCCTGACATAGACGCATCCTCTACGGAAGCAGTCTTGGACAACAGACTCAGTCTCCAAGTGGGCTCTTTACTCCATCAAAACGGCACCATGGACAAGGGGAAGTTTTAGTAGGATTTCCCTAAGGGTTTCAGGAGAACCATTTTAAAGACACACACACACACACACACACACACACACACACACACACACAGAGGGTATGGAGGAAGAACTCAAAATGGCCCAGTGAGGACAGTGTACTGTGACCACCTAATGCTGGTTAACTGTTTTGGGGACGGGATGTGAAACCAATGGTAGAGGAAATGAAATGGAAGAGGGCTTGGCTGGAACACTGAACAGGATATTTTGTCACGGATCTCTCTTGCAAATGAAAAAAGGGGATTTATTAAAAGGGAAGGTTCCAACTAAGGGGAGGGCTGAGAAAGAGCTGGGCCTGAGATCTTGGAAAGCCATTGTCAGCTGGAAAAGATAATATTAGGCTAGATGGACTGTGGTCTGGCTCAGAATAAGGTCAGCTCCCTATGAAAGAAACATTGTGAAGGAAATTAGATTGGCTAAGTAAAAAATGGAACCGCTGCATGTTGGCATGGAACAGAAATGTTTTCCAGCATGCCCTGATTCCTTGTGTAAAGATTAGGTGTTTACACTCAGTCCACAGGGCTGCAATTCCTTTAAAGCTAACAGTACTGGCCAAAACAATCACCCCAACAAACAACCTTTACTTTCCACCTGGCAGTTCCTTTGTGCCTGTTTTGCTAGACCTTCTCCTTTGAGATTGTCTATCCAGGAGTGTCAAAAGAGCCCATTCTGGTCCTGCTTCCCACTGTGGCCAGGCAGTCTTCTGGGAAGACCACAAGCAGGACATGAGGGCAAGAGCCCACCTGCATGCTGGGGGTTTGGCGTGCGGTAAAGCAGGCGTGTTGAGCCTCTTTCCGCCTGAGGACTGAATTGCATCTTGGAGAAGCTCTCAGGGCTGCATTTCACTATTGGCAGGGCTGAAGGCAAAAGGGGGAGGTAAAAGAAGAAAAAAAACCAGCATCTTTAAGTTAAAGCACTTGCAGCCAGTAATTATGCCTTAGGAGAAGCATTTCAAGTGTTCAGAATTTGGGTGAGGGGAGAGGAATTGCATAAAAGCTAGGAAACTACCAAGTAATCAGCACTCAGGGAAAGGGGTGAGGCCTTATAGGGAACCCAGAAGAGCCAGGCTGGGCTCCCCAGCCTGGCTTTGCATCTCTGCAGTAAAGAGCATCATTTGCAGGGCAATACAACCCTCAGCCTCCAGGAAACGAGGGGAAAATGTGCCTTGGTGAGACCACAGCCCTATTCTGTCTAGCACCAAAATGTACTACTTATCGATCAATGGTTGAAGGTGATCCAGGCAAGGCAACCTTCTCAAATTAGCACTTCTGTTGAAAGGAAATTGTGTTCATCAGCACACAAGCTGTGATGCATTATAACTCCAAAAATAAGACATTTGATCCATATTTCCTTTGGTGGTAGAGCGAAGGGGGAGAGGAGGTATGCAGGTATGCGAGAAGGTTAGAGTGTTTTTCAGATGGTGAGCATCTTTCTTGCAGAGTCCTCTGTCCGGCCAGAAGAAGAGCTCAAAATTACTCACCAGGAAGAAGCCATGGAACTGAATGCAAAGGTACCACAGGAATGACCACATAATGGGGAGGCCCCAAAAGTCCCGTTTCAGAGGAAACCTTCCCAGATAAGCTATTCAACACAACCACAATTCCTGCATGACAATTCCTGGTCAGAATAACAGGCAGAAATCCTGTGGTTACAAGGACATCATAGTTATATTATGCCATACTTGATCTTTCTGTGAAGGGGTCACAACTAAATGAAAGAGCATACAAGCTGCAGGCAAAGGTCCCAGATTAATATGATCTCAGATAGCAGGGCTGGGAAAGACCACTAGCCGAGACCTTAATGTCAGCCTCAAAGACAGTAATGGCTTGATGAACTGATAAAGCAGCTTTTATGGGCCTTTTATGCATGAGTTTCCAACCTTTACAGAATGGAACTGCTGTTGGGTGTTGTAGGAAAATGCACCCTTTGTTGATCTTAGGCTTAGGACCTGGATATCTAAAGGAGCATCTCCTTCCCAATTTCTCTGCCTGCCCCTTAAGATCTGGGTCAGAGGTCCTTCTTCGGGAGCCCTCTTTGAAGGAGATTAGGAGGGTGGCTACCCGAAGAAGGGCCTTCTCTGCTGAGGCGCCCCAGTTATGGAATATGATCCTGAGAGAGCTGTGCCTGCCGCCAACACTTTATTCTTTTTGGCACCAGGTTAAAACATTTTGTTGCTATTTTAATTGGTGTTTATTATATAGAAATGATGCTGTGCTTTACTTTGTTTTATTGTAAAACCGCCCTGAGACTATTTGGTAAGAGGACGGTATAGAAAAATTTTAAAGGAATGAATGAATGAATGATGTTGCTCAGCTCATTATAGGTATATGGACATGGATTGTTGGGACCAAAGAAGGGCTTAGCTCCTGCTATGGGATTTCCTGGCACAGCATCTTTAATGCTGCACCTCTTAGGCAGTTCCCTCCTTTCCATGGACAGCCAGCCTCAAATGGCTGCAACCTTTGCCCCCAAAGGTGTGCACTGGCCTCCTCTCTTTTACCATTGGGTTTCCTGAGAGTCAATTCTCAACTGTCCTGTTCAGGCATTTATGAAACAGCAGGCAACCTGGGCATCACCTTGGCATGCCTGGGATGCCACACGTGCTCACACAGTTCACCTTGAACACAGCATGCTTGTGCTCCCTTCTCTCGTTCGCATCTCGCCGAGGGGTGAGCGAGAGGAGCCGCTGCATGGCGAGTGGTCCACAGATGCCGGTGTCCAAGGTACATCAGGGGTGCAGAACTCCCAAGACGCAAGCTTCACCTGGCTCGCCGGGATGCCCGGTCCAGACCACAGGGCTTCCGGGGGCTCCTTCCGCTGTGCAGCTGCTCTGTGGAGCCTCCTGCTCCAGGCTCCTGCTCAGATCACTTGTGCAGCTGGGCCCACCTGCCAGTGCGTTTTGCACATGTCTCCCCTGTTGTGAGCTCTTACGCGTGTCTGAATGGGAGCCCATAGGCATGGCCACCTGCATGGGCCCTTCCTCCTCAGCTTCCTACCCAAGTGATAAAGAGAAAGAATGTTGCCTGAAAATTCACCCCTTCAAATATGATTCAGATGTAGATGGCAATGGAAAAGCATCTTGCCGTACAGAAGAGGTACCTGCACCCTTCAGCATGCATGCAAATAGGATGTCTGTGGTGATCCCTTCATCTCTCTCTGTAGTGGCTGCACGAAACGATGGGTGGGGAAAGAGTGTATGGGCAAGTAATTGCTTTATGAAGGGTTCCCCCCACCCTCCAATCTATCGTGTCCTTTCTGTGCCACAGGAGCAACCCAGCTCCCCACAGAAGCAGGGAGTGAAGGCTCGTTCCAAATCCACTGAGGATATCCAGCCTGCCAAGAAGGTAACAGTGCCAGCCTGCCTCTGCATGGGCAAAGAGCCTGCGGCCTGTGCGGAGAGACGTGCTGCAGTTCAGCTGTGAGCTAGTCCTCTCCCCACTGGGAAGAGCAGCCCCAGTCCTCTCATTGCGGTAGCTCAGGGTTCCCTTATGCTTGGGACATCAGTTCTCATCAGCTCCAGCCAGCAAATCCAGTGACCAGAAATCTTGGGCGGCGTGGTCCAAGGCACCGTCTGGAGGGTGCCAGGTTTGGAAGGCTACAGTAGCCCATCCATCTTTTCCATGTAATCAGTGGAGTCCTAAGTCTCCTTTGGGCCACAAGTTCATTGTGTGGCTGGGAACCCGGGGAGCCAATTAGAAATGCAGGGCTGGGAGGGAGAAAATTTGGAGTTCCCTGTGGCCACTGCCATGAGAAGCTCAGGAGAGGAATCCCACAGGGAGACCTTGTTACCTGAACCCCCATTTGTCTGGGACTCAGAGGGGATGGGAGTGGGACCCTTGTTTCTGGGTAGAACTCTTGCTCTGCAAGTAGAATAGGACTGGGAAACATTTGACCCTGCAAAGGTTCTGCTCATCACCTACGACCTGATTCTTTGAAAGGGAGTTGCTGGGGATTGAAACTGGGGCCTTCTGTGTCAAGGATGGACAATGGGTGACCCTCCAGATTTTGTTGGACATCAAGTAGCAGGAATGAGGTAGCAGGTAGCAGAAACACTGGGAGGCTGTTGCTGTATAGAGTTTGCAGAGCTAGGCTGGATCTGCCATAGGTCTGGCAGCATCCTATGACCTCATGTTCCCATCTTACAGTGACTGGCCCCCTGATAGACTGGTGGTGACCAGGGAACTGGGAACTCTCCACTCTGGAATCCAACCAGCCTTCTTGTGGAAAGTTCTCTCTCAATCTTTTGGAAGAATGTGTCAGAGGGTCCACCTCAAGTTCATTACAATAAATGGTATGGTTGTGTTGTGTGCTGCAAATGAGAGCAAAGGACCTCCATGTGTGTTTCCAATGTAAAACTGTACAGAGTCTCTTTGCCCAAGGCAGATATTTGCTCTCCTATACATTTGCTGGGAAGGAATTCCCTGTGTTTCCTGTTATGTCAGTAGATTGCAAACTCCATTCCAGGTTCAACCAACTAGGTCCATTTGATTAAACTCAGCCCCATCTCTCATTGCAGGCCTTTCACACTCCCCAGAAGTCCTTGCCTAACCAGATGGACGATGACGAGTCCAAGGTACGCATCCAACCCAAACACAGGTCCAGGAACTAAGGATGCCCTATTTGCTTCTTCCAGAGTTCCCAAGCATGGTTTTCTTTGCTGCCTTTTGGAAAATGACCCTGACAAAGATAAGGGCATCAGTTTCAATTCGATTCCTAGCAGGGGCTTCTATAACCCTTAAATGAGAATCCTATTAGTGCTTGGAGTGTTCCTTGAAAGGAAGAGTTGGGGACCCCATGATGTATCGCTGTGTGAGAGGAAGTCCAAGCAAATAGAGTTGAATCTCTTCTAGGCGGAGGGATTAAATCATTTTCAGAGAAGTTCTATATTCCTTTCAGTAGTGATGGCAAAAGTAGGTGGAACCCAAATACCTGTATACTTTAACTTAGGATTCTTACTACCAGTAATTAAGCCTTGGGAGAGGGAAATCAGCCTTTTAGATGGGAAGAAAACTGCACCAAAGCTGGGAAAGCACCAAATGAGATGCAGTTGGGGAACGAGGTATGGGGCCGGGGGAAGATGGGCAGAGCTGGTTAGGATCTCAAGCAAGATAGATTTGGCTTTTAGGTCTGAGATTCAACCACCCTGGTCCAGGCATTTGTGGAGAAAAAGATGCTGCCACGTTGCTCGCTAGCAGGGGTTCTGTAGCCCCGAAGTGCCAAGAGCAGTTCCCATATCAAGAAAGGACAGACTTGCATCAACGGAGTAATGGCGAAGCTTCCCGGCTTTCTCTTCCTGCCTTGAATGGATCCCCCCCTGCTGTGCCCCCACAGGGTTCCTGTCCCATCCCGCCACCCAGTGCAACTCAGCAGCAGCAGCAACCCTGAGAGGAGCAGGATCTGCTCGAGCGCTGCTTGCAAGGAGGGGAGCTGTTCACGCCCCTCGTGCCGCTCCTACCCCTGTGGATGTCACCGTGGTTCTGTCTGTCCAGCTGTCGCTTTCCAACTGTCTGTCCTCTCTGTGGAATAAGATCTGGGTCAATAAAGTTAGTTGGAACATCCTCTACTTTCAACTGTCGCATTTATGCTGGCGTAGCTTGTACCACCACAGCTCTGAATGGTGAGGATGCAAGACTGGAGCCGGGGAGCCATCTTGCTGGAGGGTCTGGCCTTGTGTATGGGGGGCCAGTTGGCAGGATCACCACAAGCCACGGTGCCTTAGAAGCATAGAAACTCAGCGAGTGAGAAGGGCCCTCCCAGTTCATCCAATCTGACCCCGAGCTCCAGCTGGCTCCCCTCTTGTGAACTGCAGTGCATGGCCAGCACGATTTGAGGAGCTGCTGCCCAGGCGCAGCTTGTCATGTTGTCTGAACCCCGGCAGCAGCATGGCTTGCCAGAAGGCTGAACAGTCCTTCAAAAACCGCAACAATGCCCGAGTTATGGGACGGTTGCTTAGCCCTCCAGCAAGCTTGTTGCCTATTTTGTAGGAAAACACCAAAGCTGCAGCTGGGCTGTGATTATGCTAGATCACTCCCAACCACCATGACCTGTTTGGTTCATGCAAACTGAGTCATTATGTACAGGGGATATTGTGCTATTGTCTCTGCAGAGCAGCTTGTCGGACAGTCTTACAGAGACTATAATGGAGTATGCTGGGACAGAAATGCTCCCAGTTTCCTCAGGTTGGGTCCAGGATCTGCCTTCTGTAAAAGGAAAGGTTCCACTGGTGGAAGATCCCTCCCCACTGATTTGTGGGGAGTCTCTTTTCCCACCACACACCACATCCAACAGCTCTGGTCACCCCTCTGCAAGGTCTCCTGACTTTCTGTATAACACTTTCAAGGGGCTTGAGGGGCTGGTGAGGCAAGAAAGGGCTAGGGAAGTCCATTTCTGCCAGCCTGCTTGATCTAGATTAAACCTGGATCCAATCCCTAGTAGTGAATGTCTCACCGGCATACAAGATGCCTGCCTTGAGGACTTTCTCACATAGCTCCAGTTCCTGCCAAAGGATCTGCAAACCCTTGAACACAAGCCCTGGTTTTGCCTTTGGTCGATTTACTTGCTGGCAATCCCACCTCATGGGAGCCTGCATCCCTCATCTCATGTCTTTGTTGTCTGCTAAAGCTGCTAGGACGCTCAGCAAGCTAGCGAGTCTCTTACGCCATCTCTCTCAGGGCCAAAGAGGGATGAACAGCCATGTCACGTGCCACCTCTGAATGTATCTGAGGCAGCTCCTCCTCAGAGCCCCCGTGTGTGCCAAGCATGTTTTCCATGCACAGGAAGGCTTTAGACCAGAGATGCTTCATGCTTCACTCCCCCTCTAGCATTTCGAGATGATACTGTCTGTGGAAGGCCCCTCCCTGTTCATATGAATCAGCCCTTAAACACCCTCACCCCTTCCAAAGGCAAAAGAGATGGAGAAACTTTCTCTGGGGTTGGGTGCTTGATGTCTCTGGGATTAAAGGCTCTTCATGGGGAAAAAGCTCCGCGCCCAAACATGATGTGCTAGTACGAAGCCACAGACCACAAAAGGGATGATTCACTGTGTGCCCAAGGGAGGGAGGGAGGGTGCCTCTTTCTCTGTGCAGTTGCCCCCTGTCCTCCGGAACACCTTGACTCAGCATGCTCGAGGGGGTGGTGGGAGGCAGTGCCTAGTGAGACGCGGCATCCGTGGAATGTCTCCCCGCGTTCTGGACCAGGACTTTGGCCCGGCCCAGTCAATGAGTGACAGGCCAGGGCAGAGCAGCTTAATGATTGTGAGCGATTCGGAGGAGGGTTTTGTTGCCTGAGGTGGCTGATTGCTAGTGTGTCACAACAGACACAAGTGAATATTACACAGACTTGCACATGCACACACTGCTGCCTGTCTCTTCCCCAGCATTTGTTTTGATTTTTATATATTGCGCCATTCCCATAGGCGCTGGATGGTTTACAAGAGATTCAAGCCAACAATGATTAAAATTAAGACTAAAAATAAGCATGACACTCATCTAGGAAGGCCTGTTAGAAGAGACACAGTATCTCTCCAGTATTATAGAAAATGCTCTGAAGTGCCATCACAGACAGGATGATGCCATCATCATCTTTATTGTGCTTGTTGTAGCAACTGCTAGAATTGCTGGGCATTTAGAGAATAGCTCAAGTACTTGTTCTTATTCTGTTTGTATCCCACTTTTCCCCTCTTGTAAGGAGCTCAAGGTGGCTTGCATGACTCCCCGCTCCCCATTTTATCCTCACAACAATGACCCTTGGATGAGAGTCAGTGCCTGGCCCAAAGGCACCCAATGAACTTCATGGCCGCAAGGGAACTCAATCAAAACTGGAATTCCAGAGTCCCTTTCCAGCACCACACTGTTTCTCACTGATGCCAGACAGTGCAAAGAATACAGGCTGTTTGATCTGCAGTGATTCCACTGTTGAACAGTCCCGAGACGCTTGTAGTGGACAGTCTATAAAAGCTTTCAATAAACAAACAAACAAACAAACAAACAAATAACAGGAAGTGAGATGGCCTTTAGAAACATCCTACTCTGAATATTCCTAACCGACTACAGCCCAAAGAGCTGTTCCTTCTCATTGTTGGGCATGTGCAGACTAATGTTTGTGTGAAAAGGACAACCAGAGAGGGGTGGTGCGCCATGGGTGTAGGCCACATACATTTGCTAGGATAGAATACTAATTGTTCTTTTCTTTTTAAATATATTCTGGCTCTATGCATGTCCGCTTATTCACAAATCTTTACCAGAGACTTCTTTCCAAAATGGCTTCCTTTTATGTTTGATCTTGCACATAGCTACCTACTTTGCAGAAGCTGACAACAATAATTTGCCACATTCCTTTCCCCTTTCTCTTTCAGATGGGACCTATCCCAGCAAGAAAGCAGTGTGGTGTAGTGGTTAGAGTGTTGGACTGGGACTGAGGAGACCCAGATTCTAGTCCCCACTCAGCCATGAAGCTCCCTGGGTGACTTGAAGCCAGTGTGACTGACTGTCAGCCTATCCTACCTCACAGGGTTGTTAAGAAGATAAAATGGAAAGGAGGAAGAGAAAAATCATGTGAGCCTTGGGTTTCTTGCTGGAAGAAAAAAAACCAGGATATAAATGCAAGATAATGTAATAAGAAGATCCAGTTAGGCACACATTTAGCCACCTTGCCTTCTACATGCAACCCTCCCCCTGCAGTTATCATAGAAGGGGGAAGTGCCTATGATATAGACTGTATACAAAATATGAAGCTATGTGTACAAATAGCAAGGACCATGGAGTAATATCTTTTCTATACAAGTAAAAGGCTTCTAACAGTCATGCACACTTGTGCTTTTCTTACTCTCTATATCAAGTAGCATTTGATTCATCCATTCCTACTTAGAGTTATGGGTTACTTTTCAACCAATAGGCCCTTGAAACAGCTTTCAGTAAAATCATAGCCTGCAATACTATATTTGTCTGAAGAAGTCAACCAAAAAGTTGGGTATTGTATGGTCATGTAGGCATTTTCCTTCCTCTAGCTTGCCTTGAAAAATAGACAACTGGTTATATACATGCTAAGCTTCAGGGTCTCACTCAGCTGAAAGATTAGCAGATTTCCACCCAAAACTGTATAAAAAAGCTTATGCAGAGACAGGCCTTCATTTTGGCACACAAATATGGCACAAGTACCCATACACAAAAAATAGCAACATACAGTGGCAGGGTCAGGTCTGGACTTTGGTAGAACTTGACGCCTGAGTTTGCTCAGGATCTCCCCTCACTAGCCCTTTCTCTGGCTGCTTGTCAGATGGATGGAAAATTGGCTGCCAGACCATGTGCAGCAGGTAATGATAAATCTCAGGCGGGAGCACACGAGGCACAGAGATTGGGGCTGAGGTTACCTAAGTTGAGCACTTTCAGGGGCTGCACTGAGGACACATCCTTGGCAGGAGAGACAAGGATTGTCAACCAACAGGCAGGGAGTGAGCTGACAAACCAAAAAAGGCTGGGTAGTTTTTTGTGTTCATTTTTGTTTTGCTCTTGAGCTAGTTGCTGGAAAAGCAAGGGGCAAGGTTGTTTTCCTCCACTTTCAGCAGTTCATTTATTTATGTATTTATTAGGTGGCTCTGTAGAGGAATAGTCAGGATAGGCCTCTGCCCCGGACCTGCCCAACACACTGGGCTTAGTTCCCAGATGTGGCAAAGAGGCCCACTGCATTCCACCCACAGGCCTCCACAAATGATGGGCTCCTTTGTGGGTTTGGAAGACATAATGAGAGACCACAGTAGGGTGGAGATTATGGTGGGAAAGCAGCTGAGAGATGCAAAAAGAGCTCTACGGAATCAGACCAACCATCTCTCTCAAGACTTCTCAACCTGGTGCCACAGTAGCCCTGCTGGCTGGGGATTATGGGAGTGCCAGCCCAACACAAACAGGGGACAGCAGCTTGAGGAAGTCTGGCAGATCTAGTGCTGTGCCCGTGTCCCATGCTGGGTAGCCAGATGCCTTCAAGGGGCTCCACAGCAGCACCTGAAGACAACTACCTTCCCCTTTCAGTACATAGTTTGACAAGCTACCTCACCTCTGGAGATGGAGGCTCCACTGACCTATTACGACTTCATACTTCACTAGGCCGGTTCTCCATGACTTTGCCTAATAAGCTTCCAATTAAAACCAGCTAAGTCGGTGGCCACTAGGACATACTGGAGAAGTATTTCATAAGATATTATTATGGATTTGTGTGAAGAAGGAGTTTCTTTTGTCTCCTAAATTCACTAAGAAAGAGAAAGGAGAGCATCACTGCAAAAGCAACAATCACAACCCTGCTGCAAATAAATGCCATTGAGTAACCCCAAGTTCGGGTAGCAGGGACAGGGGGAGTTCTCCCTGTCCACCTTCTCTGCAACATGCATAATTGCACAAATCTCTCTAATGTGCCACATCTTTTTTCCATACTGAAATGCTCCAAATACCTACTTTAGGCTTTCCTGGTAGGAAGATGTTCCAACGCCACATTTGGGCATTATACTTACCCTTCTCCTCATCTTTCCCAGCCCTGTGATA